CGGCGCGGAGCTTCTGCGGGTCCAGCGGTGGCTTCTGCTCCAGTTTCAGTGAGGAAGCGGCTTAAATTTGTGTAAAGGAGGCCCCGGCTGCGCGCTCCTTCAGGAGCTGTAGGGAATTCCAGTCAGAAGGTGGGAGCGTGCTGGGCTGTGGAGCAGCGTTGTCTGTTGGGAGTTGCTTCTTTTCCCCAGCAGCCACGCAGGGCTGTGTGACCCAATAACTCGCAAATAAGAAGCAAAAGTGAGATGATTGCCCTTGCTTTAAAATGTGTGACTAACGGTTAGCGTAGCTTGTCAGACCCCTGAAGGATAGTTGGGAACATCCCTCCTTGCCTGATGCCTCACTGTTGGTGCTGCCCTGGGTTATTCCTGCCTTGTCTCAGCTGTTGGTGAACGCCAGGAAGCTGTGTTTGGGCAGGCACGTGCCTAAAATCACCAGCAAACTCTCTGCTTTCCCTGCTTTTTGACCTCAACAGAGGGAAAAAATTGAACTGAAAAAGCTATTTTGTTATTGATTTACAGATGATTAAAATATGGTTGTGTTTTTCTTTAGTTTTAGAACTGTGTGGAGAGGGCTAAGCTGTCTGGGTTTAAATGCTTTTTTTTGGCTTTGAGTAGGAGTTCCCAGCAGGTTAAATTGATGCTTAGAAAAACAAGCGTTAAGTCCCAATAGAAAGTGAATGTTTCTGATGCCGCTGGAAGGAAGAATCTGTTAACCAAGATATTTTGATGGTCAGATGTTGAAACTGAATGTCAATGACTGTGACTTCATAACAAAAATAAGGGTGGAAGGAAGGTAATATTTATATTTTTAGTAGAAAATGGAAACTTCTGGTCTCTTCATTCCCAGCTGCCTGGAGGGAACCTGAAGCTCACTCTCTACCAGTATAAAACGTGTCCTTTCTGCAGCAAAGTCCGAGCTTTTCTTGATTATCATGGACTGCCCTATGAAATTGTGGAAGTGAACCCGATAATGAGGAAAGAGATCAAATTCTCTTCCTACAGAAAGGTGCCTATCCTGCTAGCCAATGCTGGGAGCCCTCTGGTAAGTCTTGCTGTGCTGAAAGTTTGATTTCCTCCTAAGCAGTGGTTTGGAGGCTTTGCTTCTGTCATGTCTCTGTGTTTTATCACATGCAGTGTAATCTTTACATCATCTTTTATTTTCTCAAGAGCCTAAGATTTGTTTCTTGCTTCGTGGTTTCCTGTGCCTTGGCCTTATTAGGTTTTTTTTGTTGGTCTTTCTTACAAGGCATGCTGTTTGTGTAGTGACTGTGTAATCCAGTGATTAGCTTCTGTCAGCTCTTATGCAGGATATGTAATTTGTACCAACAGTAACAGAAACTGCTTATATATTGTGGGAAAAGAATAAGATCTTAAGAATACTGAAGATTCAACCTGGCTTTTTATTTTTTTGCTGTTAGTGTTGCTTTCTTCCCTCACTGCCAAGAGCCTAAGTCCTAAACCCACTAGTATGGCCTGTGTACCTGACTCTCAGGTCTTCTGTTGTCAGAACAAAAGACAAATTTGAAATGATACTCTAAAACAATCACAGAAGAGATCAGAATGTGGGACTGTCTTTAGATGTGCAGGGACTCCCATGGAAACACACGGGAGAAGAAGGGACTGCAGTACTAACTTGGAGCCTCAGCATGTAGAGTTTTGAAGAATTTCCTTTTCAATTTTACCAGCCTCTTTTAAAAGTTTGGTTTAATTTTGTTTTTCAGCAATTGAATGACTCCTCGGTGATCATCAGTGCAATAAAGACCTATCTCGTTTCCAAGTAAGAAAACAGGATGATGAGAGAAGAGTTGAATGCAAATGGCCCTAGTGAGCTAGAGATTGAGAAGACTCAGAGTCAGTCATAAGTATCTTGCTGACCTTGGTCTCTGAAGCTCTGGGTGTTTGGCCCAGCAGACTTGACCCTGGCTCTGATGGTGTGGATGATGTCGATGTATCTTGTGATGTATGTGCAGTAAAGCAAAGCTTTTTCCTTTCAGAACTACTCTTTTTTCACCTGTGAGATTCTCTCTGCACAAAAGCTACTTAAACATGGACTAGTGTTAGTCCTGGAACTAAGCTTACATTTACTCAGCTATAACATCTAGAGTGAAATTAAATTTCTGTACTTGTGGCCTGCCCTTTAGGTCTGTGCTACAGAGCAGTTCAGAATGGTGGGTAGTTTTATGCCTGCAAAAATGTCTGTTCTGGCACAGACAAGACTGCGCACCCTAATAATGGTTGTTTGCAAGTAGCTGTTCCTGTCCCTTTTCAGAACTTATTTCAAATAGAATTTGAAACCTTGCATGGTTATTTTTAGAATAACGCATTTTAAATTGTGTATCTTTCAGTCTGTGCTTTACTCTTGCTCGTTTTTATATCAGCCAGATCAGGTGCTAACTGTGTTTCTGTCCACAGGAGGAATAGCTTAGAAGAGATTGTGTCCTTTTATCCTCCGATGAAAACTGTGACTGAGCAAGGCAAGGAGGTATTTGAGTATGGGAATAAATACTGGCTCATGCTGGATGAGAAGGAGACAAAGCGAGTCTATCCTGTCAAAGAAGTGAGAGTGTAAGTGCCCTTAAGTTTCTGGGCTCTCCAAGTAGGGTCACAGCCTCCTCCAGATGTACTCAGGAATGGTGTAGACATAAAATCCTACCGGTGCTGGCAGTCCTGTCACACACACCCCTTAGTGTTTAAAACTTCAGTAGTTAGAGTGGTTTTGCTGTGTTTCTTACATAATTTGAAAGAATGCTGTTGGATGGCCTAGTTACCACCGTCATGGTCATGCCAGCCTTCAGTTGCCTCCAGTTTCCTTCTTGGCCTTTCCTTTATGTCACAGGGGAATGTTAACGGAGTGCTACTTTCCCTTTCTGCTTTAGTTCTCATACTGGGAGGAGAAGCTAATGCTCTTAGTCTTAATTTTAGTTTGAGACTGGGGTAGCCTTGCCAAAGATAATGATCCTGAGTGCATTTCAGAGAGGTCACCAGAGCACAAGGCTGGGCAGGAGTTTTTGACACACTTGTTCTTGGCAGGACCTCTGGCTAATGCCACTGTGATTCTGTCTGCCTTCTGTAGCCCTGCAATCTGTACCTCATTCACTGAAAAGTCTCTTTTGAATACTTGCAGGGAAGAAATGAAGTGGAGAAAATGGGCAGACGATTGGCTTGTTCACCTCATCTCCCCCAATGTTTACCGTACTCCGAGAGAAGCCTTGGCATCTTTTGATTACATTGTCCGTGAGGGGAAGTTTGGCACTGTGGAAGGTTTCTTTGCCAAGTACATGGGGGCTGTTGCTATGTTCTTTGTTAGCAAGAGGCTGAAGAAAAGGTTGGTACTGCTGAGCACCAAGTACACCAGAAGAATAGCTCCTTAACCTCCTTAGCTGTGAACCCCAGATGCCAAAGGGCAGAACCTCAGTGTTTTAAACCAAACCATTTAATCCAATGAGAGTAACAGCTGTATCACTTTAACTGGAGGAACTGAACCCCTCTACTCATCTACTGTTTAATCACTGACTGCCCCCTTTACTCTCAAATACCTTCCTTATTCCCAGGCAAAGACCAGCCCATAAGATGAGAGATGATAAAAGGTTAAAGAAAGGAACAAACCAGTGTCTTCTAACTAGTTCTTCTCTTTATCCAGACATCACCTTCAAGATAATGTCCGAGAAGACTTGTATGAAGCTGTCAATGAGTGGGTAAAAGCTGTTGGCAAACATCGACCGTTCATGGGTGGAAATCAGCCCAACCTTGCTGACTTGGTAAGAGGTTAATTTCTGCATTAATTGTTAGGTGTATTGCAAATTATCTAGTTGGTTATCCATGTGAAATGGTGAGTACCAATACAGACACAGAAGGTAAGTTATGTAAGATTCGTTATCCGTGTCCTTTGTGCAGTAATACAATTCCCACATGAGGAGGACACATACGAAGGTATGTGTTGTTTTCCTCCAGATAAACATTTTCCTGAGATGGAACCTGCAGTTGCCATCTCCAGGTGGATGTTCTTGATCATGTGGAAGCATGAGGAGAGCAGGTTAGAGGCCAGGACACTGCTCTGGCTTGTGCATGTTGGTGAATAAAGCCTCACACCTGCACAAGTCTTATTACACTCAGTGCTGCTGGGGTTTCCTTTGCAGGCAGCAGTGCAGAGCAGAGCAGGATTCATCCCCTGCACCACCAGTTCTCCTTGGAATGCAGGTGAACCATTTCACACCAGGGCTTGGTGCAGAGATGGGATTAACTTTTGCCCCATAACTGCATGTAGATCCTGATTTTCTTCTTGCTGCCTCCTCATGGAAAAATATGCATATTCTTAACTACCTTTCTGCCTACTCAGTCTTCCTTGCTGATCAGAGTGGTGGAGTAGATGGTAGGACAAGAAAAGAGCCTTACTGCCTCAGCTGTTTGCTCTCTTTGGTACCTCAATGCGTTCTCCACTGCTGACTCTTTCAGTGTTGTTCTGATCTTTATCCTCTGGCACAGGCGGTGTATGGGGTCCTCCGAGTCATGGAAGGGCTGGAAGCCTTTGATGACATGATGGTTCACACCAAGATTCAGCCTTGGTACCTGCGCATGGAAGAAGTCATTAAAAAAGCTGCAGCTGCCATCTGATGCCAGCTGCAGCTGCCTTCCTGAAGTACTTGCATGGTAAAACACTTCAGAAGGAACGGCGTTTCTTTTTTAAGAGTTGAATGGACTGGTCACACCTCATGGACTGATACACAGGAGCAGAGGCTGTCCTGTTTAGAATATCAAGTGCCAGTGAGCAGAAGGGATCCAGCTGTATGTTTGAACACGGTGTTCAGAACGTCTGGGACAGGTAAAAGGAAGGGATCTTGGATGCTGTTGGAAAGGAGAAGCTCCGAACTGAAGAACACAGTAAATAGGCTCCTTTTGGGCGAGCGCCATGCTCGGAGCAGGTTAATGTAGAAGCAAGGCGCTCTCGGCTAGCGAGTGTTGCAGCCATGTCAGGTACGGTAGGTCTGAGCAGCTTCTGCTTCAGGCTGTCTTCCGCTGCTCAGCCGTGTCATCGGAAGGGTGTTCCTGACTGAGACACTGGATACTAGTTTTCAAGTGGCAATTTTTCCTGCAATAGAATCCTGTAAGCCCAGTGCTGAGGGAACTGGAGCAATCGGTGGTACTGGGAGTGGCATCCTTCCTGTGACACAAACGAGGCTGCACTTGTCCGATCGTGTGCTTTTACTCTTCCATGTAAACGGTTCTCTCAGTACGGTCTGCAAGGATAAAGTCTTGCTTCTTCCTGTGCCCTTTGTGACATCTGTGAGTTATTACTTACTCGCTACAGCCAGAAAGCCAACCCTATGTGGAAATCAGTAATGCTGAGCTGTTCTTTTAAAGGTTGGTGTTGCATTAAGTCTCTCTGGAATACCCCTGAAAATCAGTTTGTTCTCGTTTTGGAAAAAGAAGGATTAAGAGCCATCTGCATGCCTGCGGCATCTCTAGATGTTTCTGTCATGCAAGAGTAACAAGGGATTTGCCGTTGTAGCAATAGGATTGGGAGCCGTGGCTGTGGGTGATGTTGTGAAATACGTTTGTCACTGTGAGAGACAATGTGGGTTTGAGTGGGAGTGATCCTCTGTGCAGCCCAACGCTTCATTTTCCTTCGTGGTCACCTGGAGAAAGTTGTGTTTCTCCAGAAGAACAGGCGGGTTTCAGAGAAGCTGGTTTGTTGCAATAGTGCGAGCAGCCGAAGTCGGTGCGTAGTTGTGGTACAGCTGCTGGTGTGGTGCGGGTTCTGTTGGAGGGGAGAGGCGAGGGGGCACCCTTAAAACAACAAAGGTGGTGATGGAGGTGCTGGGTTTTTACAAATATGATATTAATTACAAATTCAGTTATGATCAGACATAAAGGGGGGGTGTGGGGAGGAACGTTTATGGTAACACCAGCTGGGTTGCTGGTCTGTGACTTGCTGTATTTTGCAAAATCTGTTTTCTGGAATTTCTGTTCCACGGTATCAAGAGAACAAAGTTCAAGCAGGTAATGTCGTTCTTTTTAAAAAAAAAAATATATCGAACATGCATGGACAGGAGCTTGAAAGAGACCCGTTATGATCCCTTGGAATATCCACCTCGATAAACCCTCGATGGAGGAAAAGCGCCTCGCGGCCAGAACGGTGCGCGAGCGCACGTCAAACGGGGATCTG